TCCACAAATAAGTGAGATCATATGATACTTGTCTTTCTCTGTTTGGCTTGGTTCGCTTAGGATGATACTCTCCAGGTCCCTCCATGTAGTCTCAAAGGATAAGAGATCTTTCTTTCTTACAGATGCATAGTACTCCATTGTGTATATGCACCACAGCTTTTTTATCCATTCGTCTACTGATGGGCATTTGGGCTGTTTCCAGATCTTGGCTATTGTAAATAGTGCTGCTGTGAACATGGGGGTACATATATTCTTTCTGATTGGTGTTTCAGATTTCTTAGGGTATATTCCTAGAAGTGGAATCACTGGGTCAAATGGAAGTTCAATTTTTAATTTTTTGAAGTAACACCATGTTGTTTTCCCATAGTGGCTGCACCAGTCTGCATTCCCACCAGCAGTGTACTAGAGTCCCCTTTTCTCCACACCCTCGCCAACACTTGTTTGATGATTTGTTGATGGCGGCCATTCTGACAGGTATGAGGTGATACCTCATTGTTGTTTTAATTTGCATCTCTCTGATGATTAGTGATGTTGAGCATTTTTTCATATGTCTCTCAGCCATTTGTATGTTCTGTTTGGAGAGGTGTCTATTTAGTTCCTCTGCCCATTTTTTAATTGGGTTCTTTGTCTTCCTTTTGTTGAGTTGTATGAGCACTCTATATATATTGGAAATTAACCCCTCATATGATATATCATTGGCAATTATTCTCTCCCATACAGTGGGTTGCCTTTCCATTTTGATGATTGTATCTTTTGCTGTGCAGAAGCTTTTTAGTTTGATGTAGTCCCATGTGTTCATTTTCTCCTTTGTTTCTGTTGCCTTAGGTGATATATCAGTAAATATTCTGCTGTGTATGATATCTGAAATTTTGTTGCCTACATTTTTTCTAGGATTTTTATGAATTCATGAGTCACATTTAAGTCTTTTTTCCACTTGGAGTTTATTCTTGTGTATGGTTCAAGTTGGTGGTCTAGCTTCATTTTTTTCCATGTAGCTGTCCAATTTTCCCAACACCATTTATTAAAGAGGTTGTCTTACTCCACTGCACGCTCTTGCCACCTTTGTCAAATATTAATTGAGCATATTGCTTTGGGCCCATTTCTGGGTTCTCTGTTCTGTTCCATTGGTCTACCTGCCTGTTCTTGTGCCAGTACCAGGCTGTTCTGATTAAAGTAGCTTTGTAGTATAACCTGAAATTTAATAATGAGATCCCTCCAAGTTTTTTCAAGATTGCTGTGACTATTTAAGGTCTTTTTTGGTTCCATGTAAACTTTTGAAGTATTTGTTCTAATTTTGTGAAGTATGTCATTGGTATTTTGATGGGGATTGCATTGAATCTATAAATTGCTTTGGGTAATATGGACATTTTAATGATGTTAATTCTTCCAATCCATGAACAAGGCATGTGCTTCCACTTTTTTATATCTTCCTCTATTTCTTTTTTCAATGACCTGTAATTTTCTGCGAATAGGTCCTTTATTTCTTTGGTTTAATTTATTCCTAAGTATCTTAATTTTTTTGCTGTGATGGTAAACAGGATTGTTTTCTTAGTTTCTCTTTTTGTGAGTTCATCATTGGTATATAAGAATGCCATTGATTTCTTGATGTTAATTTTATATCCTGATACTTTGCCAAATTTATTTATTAAGTTTAGTAAATTTTTAATGGAGTCTTTTGGGTTTTCTACAAACAGTATCATGTCATCTGCGAATAATGACAGTTTCACTTCCTCCTTTCCAATTTGGATTTCATTTATTTTTTCTTCCTGTCTGATTGCTGTGGCTAAGATTTTCAGTACTATGTTAAATAAGAGTGACAAAAGTGGGCATCCTTGTCTTGTTCCTGTTCTTAAGGGAAATGCTTTTAGTTTTTGCCCATTGAGTATTATGGTGGTTGTAGGTCTTTCATATATGGCCTTTATTATGTCGAGATATGGTCTCTTTATTCCCAGATTGCTGAGAGTTTTTATCAGAAATGGGTGCTAGATTTTGTCAAATGCTATTTCAGCATTTATTGATATAATCATAAGATTTTTATCTTTCCTTTGTTTATGTGGTGTATCACATTTATTGATTTGTAAATATTGTACCAGCCTTGCATCCCTGGGATGAATCCCACTTGGTCATGGTGAAGAATTTTTTTGATGTATTGCTGGATTCGAATGGCTAGTATTTTGTTCAGGAATTAATATAAAAAGAATTATAAGAAATGGAAGAAAGCAACACATCAGATAAAGAATTCAAAGCTATAATTTTAAGGGTGCTCAAACAATTTGGTGAGAACTACATGAAACTTAATAAGAAGTATAAAGTGCTCACTGGGAACTACTTCAACTTAAAAAAAAAGGTAGAAACTATGCATAAAAATCAAGAGGAATTAAAGAATGACATAGCTATTATGAAAAAATACCTCAAAAACATTGAATAGTAGATTAGAAGAAGCTGAAGACCGAATCAACAACATAGAAGACAAGGTAGAGAAAAACAACCAAATAAAGCAGCAAACGGAAAAAAAAGTTTAAAAAGCAGAAAGAAAGTTTAAGGGAGCTGTGGGACAATGAAAATGTAACAACATTTGCATTATGGGGGTACCAGAAGGAGAAGAACCAGAGAAAGGAATAGAGAATCTGTTTGAAGAAATAATGACAGAAAACTTCCCCAATTTGGTGAAGGAAAAAGTTACACAAGTCCAGAAAACACAGAGAATCCCAAGCAAGATGAACCCCAGAAGACCCACAGCTAGACATATAGTAGAAATGGCAAATATTAAAGACAAAGAAACAATCTTAAAGGAATCAACAGAGAGACAGAAAGTTACCTACAAGGGAGCTCTCATTAGACTTCCAGCTGATTCTCAATAGAAACGCTGCAGGCCAGAGGGAGTGGCATGAAGTGTACAAAGTAATGCAAAGCAATGATCTGAATCCAAGACTACTCTATCCAGCAAGGCTATCATTCAAAATTGAAGGAAAAATAAATAGCTTCACAGATTTTAAAAAAAAGCTAAAGGAATTTACCACCACCAAAGCAGTACTGCAAGAAATGCTGAAGAAACTGTTGTAAGAAGAAAGAGAGAGAGAGAGAGAGAGAGAGAGAGAGAGAGAGAGGAACACAGGCATAAAGTTAAAGTGGCAACTAAAAACTATCAATAATTACCTTAAATAAAAATGGCTTAAGTGCTCCAATCAAAAGACATAGGGTTGTTGATTAGATAAGAAAACATGACCCATATATATGCTGTCTACAAGAGACCCACCTCATAACAATAGACTCACACAGGATGAAAGTGAAAGGATGGAAAAAAATTTCCAAGCAAATGGAAATGAAAAATAAGCTGGTGTAGCAGCAATACTCATATCTGACAAGATAGACTTCAAAATGAGGGCCATAATAAGAGACAGAGAAGGTCACTACATAATATTAAAAAGATCAATCCAACAAGAGGATATAACCCTGGTAAACATATAACACCAAATATGGGAGCAACAAAATATATTTTTTAAATCTTTTGGAGGACTTCAAGGGAGAAATCAATAGCAATACAATCATAGTGGGTGACTTTAACACTCCACTGACACCACTGGATAGATATTCTAGACAAAAAATTAACAAGGACATAGAGTCCTTGCAAGATGCACTAGATCAGTTGGACTTCATTGACATTTATAGAACATTTCATCAATAGCTGCAGAATATACATTCTTCTCAAGTGCACATGGGACATTCTCAAAGATAGACCACATGTTAAGACACCAAGCAAGTCACTACAAATTCAAGAAGATTGAAATCATATCAAGCATCTTCTCAGATCACAATGGCATGATTCTAGAACTCAATTAAAATAAAAACACAAAAGAAACATTCCAACAGTTTAAGGCTAAATAGCATGTTATTAAAACAATGAATGAGTTATTAACAAGATCAAGGAAGAAATTAAAAACTTTTTAAAAACCAATGAAAATGAAAACACAACAACACAAAATCTATGGGATGCAGTAAAAGCAGTTCTGAGAGGGGAGTTCGTAGCAATACAGGCCTACCTCAAGCAACAAGAACAATTCCTCATTGACTTTCTAATCCTACAACTTAAAGAACAAGAAAATAAACAAACAAACAAAAAACCCAGAGCTAGTAGGAGGAAGGAAATAGTAAAGGTCAGAGCAGAAATAAACAACATAGAGACGAAAAAAAAAAAAATTCAAAAGATCAATGAAACAAAAAGTTTGTTCTTTGAAAAGATAAACAAGATCTATGGACCTTTCGCCAGACTCACCAGGAAACAAAAAGAGAGAAACCAAATAAACAACATTAGAAATGAAAGAAGAGAAATAACAACTGACACTACAGATATACAAAGGATCATGGAAACATACTATGAACAGTTATAGGCCAACAAATTGGACAATCTAGGAGAACTGGACACAATTCTGGAAACACACAGCCTCCCAAAATTGAGCCAAGAAGAGATAGAAAACTTGAACAGCCCAATAACAACAAAAGAAATTGAAGGTGTAATTAAGAAACACCCAGCAAACAAAAGCCCAGGCCTGGACGACTTCATGGGGGAGTTTTACCAAACATTCAAAGAAGATCTAATACCTATTCTCCTCAAACTGTTTCAAAAATCTAAAAAGATGGAACACTTCCAAACTCATTTTATGAGGCCAGCATACTTCTAATTTCAAAACTGAATAAAGACACTACTAAGAAAGAAAATTACAGACCAATATCCCTGATGAACAAAGATGCCAAATCCTTAACAAAATATTAGACAGTTTGATCCAGCAATACATCAAAACAATTAAAACAATCCCATTTACCATCACAGCAAAAAAAAAAAAAAATTAAAATACTTAAGAATAAACTTAACGAATGAATGGCCGCCGCGGCTGCAGCTGCTGCTGAGGCCGAGGCCCTGGCGCAGGGGGGTGCGCCCCGGGCCCAGGCCCAGCCCCAGCCGCCTCTGCGGAGCCCGCCAGGAGCCCGGAGCGCGGCCACGGTGCAGCTACCATCATGGCCCAGACCCTGCAGATGGAGATCCCAAACTTTGGCAACAGCATTCTGGAGTGCCTGAATGAGCAGCGGCTTCAGGGCCTGTACTGTGATGTGTCAGTGGTGGTCAAAGGTCACGCCTTCAAGGCCCACCGGCAGTACTGGCTGCTAGCAGCTCCTACTTCCGGGACCTGTTTAACAGCAGCCGGAGCGCAGTGGTAGAGCTGCCAGCAGCTGTGCAGCCCCAGTCCTTCTAGCAGATCCTCAGCTTCTGCTACACGGGCCGGCTGAGCATGAATATGGGGGACCAGTTCCTACTCATGTATACAGCTGGCTTCCTTCAGATCCAGGAGATCATGGAGAAGGGCACCGAGTTCTTCCTCAAGGTGAGCTCCCCCAGCTGCGACTCCCAGGGCCTACACGCCGAGGAGGCACCGTCTTCTGAGCCCCAGAGCCCTGTGGCTCAGACATCGAGCTGGACGGCCTGCAGCACCCCGTTGCCCCTTGTGTCACGCGTCAAAACAGAACAGCAGGAGTCGGACTCGGTGCAGTGCACGCCTGTGGCCAAGCGGCTGTGGGACAGCAGCCAGAAGGAGGCTGGGGTTGGCGGCAGCAGTGGTGGCAATGGTAGCTGCAAGATGGCCAGGTTCTCCACATTGGACCTAGCCACCAACCGGCCACCGCAGCAGGCCCTGGCGGCGGCTGCGGCAGCAGCAGCAGCAGGGGGCGTGGTGAGTGGGCCCAGCGTGTCTGAGCGGACCAGCCCAGGCACCTCGAGCGCCTATACCAGCGACAGCCCAGGCTCCTACCACAATGAGGAGGACGAGGAGGAGGATGCAGGCAAGGAGGGCACAGATGAGCAGTACCGACAGATCTGTAACATGTACACCATGTATAGCATGATGAATGTTAGCCAGAGTGCTGAGATGGTGGAGGCCCTACCTGAGCAGGTGATCCCAGAGTCCCGGAATCACATCCGGGTGAGGCAAGACTTGGCTTCTCTCCCAGCCGTGCTCATCAATCAGATTGGTAACCGCTGCCACCCCAAGCTCTATGATGAGGGTGACCCCTCTGAGAAGCTAGAGCTGGTGACAGGCACCAATGTGTATATCACAAGGGCAAAGCTCATGAACTGCCATGTCAGCGCAGGCACACGGCACAAGGTCCTGCTGCGGTGCCTCCTGGCCTCCTTCTTTGACCGGAATACACTGGCCAACAGCTGTAGCACTGGCATCGCTCTTCCACCAATGACCCCAGGCGTAAACCGCTGGACAGTCGCGTCCTCCACGCTGTCAAGTACTACTGCCAGAACTTTGCCCCAAACTTCAAGGAGAGTGAAATGAATGCCATTGCGGCTGACATGTGTACCAATGCCCGCTGTATTGTTCGGAAGAGTTGGATTCCCAAAGGGAAGCCACCTGAGAATGACACCTACACCACCTTCATCAGTGACACGGGCAAGCTAGAGCCGGACATGATGGACGTGGAACACAGCTTTGAAACGGCCAGCCATGATGGCGAGGCTGGCCCCTCGGCCGAGGCCCTCCAGTAACCCCCACCAGGCCCTCCATGAGGCTGTCACACTCCCCTTCCTGTCACCCACCCACCTGCCATCTTGGTCACGAGCTACTGTCTGTCCCTCCCCAGGACCCATGGGGTGTGCTGCATGCTCCCGGCCCCTCAGCCTCCGTTCGAACCCTGACCCTAATCCGAGTGTGCTGGGAGAGGATGGCAGTGGTGCGAGCTCTGCGTGGCCTTCTCTCTCTCTCTCTCGCACACACTCATGCACAGTCGGCGAGCACTTGCTCCCCCTCTCCTAACCCCTAGCAATTGTTTTCCCATTCCACTTAACCAGGCCGGGCAGGGGAGGGGTCCTCTGCTCCACCCTTCACTGCAGCCCCTTGGGACTTGCAGGAGCCCCAGGGTGCTCAGGAACCCTCCTGCCACCACCTCCCAGTGCTTCCACGTTTCCAAAAGCGCCTTCCTGTCTCTCTCGTCTCTCCCTGCGCCTGGGGCTGGGGTAGGCGAGGCTGTGGGGACTGCCCTTGTGACAGCTGAGGAAAACTGAGTCTCAGAAATCCTACGACTGACCTAGACCAACCTAAGGTGGCAGGTGGCGGTGTGCCCAGCACCCTTCTCTCTCCCCCACCCTGTGCTCAGCCTCTCTTACACCCATTAGTCCCCTGGGGCCTGAGAGGGGCAGGTCCTAAGTGAGGGATGCAGACCAAGAGTCTCTGAGGATAGGACAAGAGGTTTCCAGGGCTCACAGGTGCGCGTGTGTGTGCGTGTGTAGAGGTCTTGCTTTTAAACAAATGAAGATATGAGAGGCAGTGGGACCAGGACTGGAACCAGGGAAGCATGCTGGCGACTGCTGCCCTTCCCTCCCTCCCCAACCCTATCCCGCGGCAGGGCTCCCAGCTCCCATCCCCTGTACATACTTTTTAAAACGTTTTTTTTTTTTTTAGCTAATGAAATATTGAAGTATAAGATTCCTTTTATTTTTCAAACCAATGGGACTGTGTCCGATGTCCCCTTTGGTCCCCGGGGGCCATGGAAAGCAGGATGGGATGGGGGGTGAGAGCCAGGCTGAATGTATGTGTGCATGTGGAGTGTGGGTGCACCTTTCCAAGGTGGGACTCCAGGCCTCGCCACCACCTGAACTTCTTTGGGTCTGGCCAGCTCCCCCACAGGGCTACATTGGCAGAGCCCAGCTCCTGGGAAAAGGGCAGGACCCACTCCATTGTTAGCAGTTTGCTGAATTTTCTCTCTAACCATTCCTCTCTACCCTCACCCAGTGCGAGTGGTTTTGATTTTTTTTAAGTTTTACATGTGAACCAGAGGGTTCTTTTTTTTTTTTTTTTTCCCACTCCCCCTCTCCCCCATGCTGCTGGGTGTAATGTGACATTTTTTGTCCAACCCTTTTCCTCACCTACTAGAGCCTCCTCCCTAAGTCTGACAGCTCATTGCTTCCAGAAGCAGGGTTTGCCGGAGGTGGCTGGGGCTATCCCAGCAGACCCTTGAAATCTAACTTGGAGGCCTCACCCCACCCCTACCCAGCAACCCCCACCAGCCTGTGGGAAGGGGATCCTTCCAGCATCTGCTTGTAGGGGGTTGAAGGGTATCTAGTTCTGCTGGGATCCTAGCACTCCACTTTCTGGCCTGAGAGTGTGTTTGGGTGTGGGGGCAAGTGTATGAGAGGGGAGTCGACACCCCCAGCTAAAGCACAAGCATCTTAGTCGCACCTCCCCTGCCCCTCATCCTGGCCTTGACACCCTACCCCAGCGTCATCCCAAAGCACAATATCCTGGTCACTTGGTGGGCCCCCGGGGTCACAGAGGGGTGGGCTGGGGTTCCAGCCAGCCCCCCAAAGGAAGCAGGAGTCCTTAGGTACTCCCCCTTCCAGGCCTTAGCTGGGGGCCAGCTCCTGGGACAAGTGTCCTCTCCCTCCCTACCTTTTTTTGGGCAGACCCCTGCCTAGCCCCTCCTCGCCTTGTCCTCAGGCAGGGCTTGCCCCTGTCCTTCCTCCAGGCCCCTGCAACACTGGGTTGGGTAGCAGAACCCCCTTGTTTCAGGGACCCCAGGAGGTGCCCCTGGCTCCAGGGACTGTGTTGGTCTGGGGATAGGGGTTGGGGGGCGGGGCAGGGGTGCAGGGGAGGAAATTCCTCACCAGGAGAGCCAAAGACAGGGTCGTGCCTTACCCCAGGAGCCACCCTGTGCCCATCCACCCTGCCCTCTTGGGTGGCCTGCTGCTTTTCTTTCTCCCCCTGCCCTGATCCAAGCTGCATGGTACCCACGGCAGCCAGGAAGGAATATGAATGGAAAATAACCAACCAACGCAAAAAAGACTGGAGGCCCCCTCCACCTCCCTGGCCACCCCTGTTCCCGTAGGACAGGGCACCTGCCTGCCATGTCCACGTGGAGTGCCAACACCTGCCCGGCTTTGGGCCGAGTCCACCCCCCCCTGCCCCCCGCCCTGGCCTGTAAGTGAAATTGCACATTAACTACTGTAAGGAGAGGAGCGCACTGGGAAATGTGAACATGAGAACATCAGTGACACTGATGAGGAGAATAAACTAAACGCCTGTGTAACAACAACAACAAAAAGAATAAACTTAACCAAAGAAGTAAAGGACCTCTTCACAGAAAACTACACATCATTGAAAAAAGAAATAGAGGCCCTGGCCGGTTTGGCTCACGGGTTAGAGCGATGGCCTACGTTCCAGACAGACCTGGGTTTGGTTCCCGCTAAGGGCATGTACCTCGGTTTCAGTTTGTCCCCGGCCCTGGTTGGTCGTGTGGGTGGTAGCCACTTGATATGTCCCTTTCACTTGTTTCTCTCTCTCTCTCTCTCTCTCTCTCTCTCTCTCTGTTTCCCTCCCTCCTTCCCTCCCTCCCTCCCTCCCACTTTATCTGAACAAAAAATGGAAAAATGTCCTCTGGTGAGGATAAAAAAGAAAGAAAGAAAATTAAGGAAATAGAGGAAGATACAAAAAAGTGGAAGCACATACCTTGTTCATGGATTGGAAGAATTAACATCATTAAAATGTCCATACTACCCAAAGCAATCTATAAATTCAGTGCAATCCCCATCAAAATACCAATGACATATTTCACAGAACTAGAACAAAGACTCCAAAAGTTTATATCGAACCAAAAAAGACCTCAAATAGCCACAGCAATCTTGAAAAAAGAAAAGAACAAAGTAGGAGGGATTACATTACCAGATATCAGGTTATACTACAAAGCCACTGTAATCAAAACTGCCTGGTACTGGCACAAAAACAGGTAGATAGATCAATGGAACAGAACAGAGAACCCAGAAATGGGCCCAAAGCAATATGCTCAATTAATATTTGACAAAGCATGTAAGAGCATACAATGGAGTCAAGACAGTTTCTTTAATAAATGTTGTTGAAAGAATTGGACAGCTATTTGAGAAAAAATGAAGCCAGATCACTAACTTATACCATACACAAGAATACACTCAAAATGGATAAAAGACTTATATGTAACTCATGAATCCATAAAAATTCTAGAAGAAAATGTAGGCATCAAAATTTCAGACATCATACGCAGCAGAATTTTCACTGTTACATCACCTAAGGCAACAGAAACAAAGGAGAAAATGAACACATGGGACTACATCAAACTAAAAAGCTTCTTCACAGCAAAAAAAACAATCATCAAAGTGGAAAGGCAACCCACTCTCTGGGAGAACATCATTGCCAATGATACATCAGATAAGGGGTTAATTTCCAAAATATATAGAGTACTCATACAACTCAACAAAAGGAATAAAGAACCCAATTGAAAATTGGGCAGAGGACCTAAATAGACACCTCTCTCCAAACAGGACATAAAATGGCCCAGAGACATATGAAGAAATGCTCAACATCACTAATCATCAGAGAGATGCAAATGAAAACAATTATGAGGTATCACTTCACACCTGTCACAATGGCCACCGTCAACAAATCATCAAACAACAAGTGCTGGCGAGAGTTTGTAGAAAAGGGGACTCTAGTACACTGCTGGTGGGAATGCAGACTGGTAGCCACTATGAAAGACACTGTGGTGTTACCTCAATAAGTTAAAAATTGAACTGCCATTTGATGTAGTGATCAATATACCCTAGGAATTGAGCCTAAAAAGCCTGAAATGTCAATCAGAAAGCATATATGTTCCCTTATGTTCATAGAAGCACTATTTACCATAGCTAAGATCTGGAAATAACCCGTGTCCATCAGTAGATGAGTGGATAAAAAAGCTGTTGTACATGTACACAATGGAATACCATGCAGCTGTAAGAAAGAAAGATCTCTTATCATTTGAGATAACATGGAGGAACCTGAAGAGTATTATGCTAAGTGAAACAAGCCAAGCAGAGAAAGACAAATATCACACGATTTTACTTATTTGTGGAATATAATGAACTAAACAAACTGATGAATAAAATTGATAGAGAGACATAGAGGGAGGGTACAGACTGACAAACCTCAGGGTTCGGTGGAGGTAGAGATAAACCACAGAACTTATATGCATGTATGCATAACCAATGGACATAGACAACAAAACTGGGGATGGGGTGGGGGAGGGAGATGGAAATGAGGGTGTCAATGGGAGGAAAAGGAAAAACATCTGTTACAAAAACAAATTAATAAAAGTTAATTTTTAAAAAAAGGATATTCAACTGAATGGAAAATATATAGAAACTGTGAAAAACAACCAGTCAGAAATAAAGAAGGTTATAGAAATAAAACTGGAAGAAATAAACAGCAGATTAGTGGAAGGCGAGGATCATATCAGTGAATTAGAAGACATGGTAGAAAAAAAAATCACCCAGTCACAGAAACAAAAATTAAAAAAAGAAAAGAAAAAACAAGTCAGTTTAAGGGAGCTGTGGTACAGTATAAAATGTAACAATATCCCTATCATAGGACTACCAAAAGGAAAAGGAAGTGAGCATGAGAGAGAGAACCTATTTGGAGAAATAATGGCAGGAAACTTCCCTAACCTGTTGAAGGAAAAAGTCACACAAGTACAGAAAGCACAGAGAGCAAGGGGAACCCAA